AACCAACATTGTTACTTTCCTAAATGGTTTTGTGTTCACATATTAGCACCATTATGGCCATTCTGAAATATTCACTAGTATTAATTCAGTTTTCTTTGTTGAAACTGAATTTATATGATTATAGAGAATGGAGGCTTCTGATTTCTACTCAAGTTTCTGCCCTTTCACAAAGCCAAAATTTCTTGTGTGTGGTTTTTTTTTTTTTTAAAGATTTTATTTATTTATTTGAGAGAGAGAGAGCACAGAGGAGAGGGAGAGGGAGAAGCAGACTCCTTGCTGAGCAAAGAGCCCGATGCGGGACTCGATCCAAGGACCCTAAGATCACGACCTGAGCTGAAGGCAGATGCTTAACCCACTGAGCCACCCAGGTGCCCCATAATAATACCATTTTAGATTAAAAGTAAGAAGCAAGGGGAAAAAAAACCCAGTAGGATATTTTATATTAAAAGATTAAACTGACTGAACGTCAAAAGGAAAACATGTTGATGTTCACAATGATTATAAAGTAAAAACTGACAAAAAGCAGTTGCCCAGGTACCTCCTCACCTATTGCTTCTGCTCTGACAAAATATCAAGCTTATTTTCATATATCACAAAAGACACTTTGGTCTCATTTCCTCTATTCGTAAGTTGCTATTACCCGTGGTGTGGTCTCACTGATTAAATGAAATGAAAATATCCTGGGGAAAAAAATAGCTTCCATTTCTAATATGTGAGTTAATTTTTGTCTGTGAGAAACATAAGAAAGGCTGTCCACAAAATGCATGCCTGTGCAAAACCACTTGGAGTCTGTAAAGCTGAAGAAACACTATGAGGTGTGGGCGAGCAGTGAGGAGCCTGGCCTCCAGACCCTTTGAGACTGGGAGCGAATCCTAACTCCGTCTGACCAACTCAGTGTCGTCATCTGTGAAACGGGGCTGATGAGCTTTACAAGGTTGTGAGGAAGGAAGGAGGTAAAGCACCTGACAAGTAGTAACTGCCCAATAAATAGCATCTACAATTACCCTGCTCCTACCCAGGCTCATGTCACCACCATTATCATTCCAGACGACCTAATGAGATAAAGGGAATGCTAATGCCCTGAATTGCAATTATTTTCCTAGATTCTGAGTTTCCTGTTGACCACTTCGAAGAGACCACATAAAGGAACTGGTGAGGAAGAAATACAGTGGATTCTGACTGTTGTGTGGTCCTGCTTGAGGTTTACTTGAATCTCCCCGAGGGGATTTAGTTCCCAGAAGCACCGGAGAGAACTTGCTAAAACCCAACATGAGGTTTCAGACCTTTAGGATGAGAGTCATAGATGAATTTGTTTCAAAACACCTTTGTATTGCTAATGATACAGGGTATATCCGCTAGAAGATTTGGAGCCAGTGCATTTCTGCGTTTGTTTTTTGTTTGGAGGAAGAGCCTCATCCGCTGACAAATATTCTGTCCTCATATGTTTTTGAACTGTTTAAAGCATTTACCTCCATCTTTTATGGGAAGTAAATATTTCTCAATTCATTGAAAAAAAGAAAAGAAAGAAAACCACTGTATCACATGATAAGGGGGAAAATATTTTCTTTCCCCTTTCATTAAAAAAAAAAAAAAGCAAACCCCAAACATAACAATGAATAATGAAAGGAAAACAGATGGAGCCAGAGTCGTTCCATTCCGTGGAGGAGGGACAGAGTAGCTGCAGGGGACAGCTGTAGCGCGTCTGGTGTCCCAATTCTTTCCTTTCCCATCACTTTATTACTTACTGGACCAAGAATGTAGACAATTTCGGCTATGGTTGTTTTGCATTTTGCTTTCTCAACTTAATCCTATGTGGTGCTCTTTGCCCCCTGCACTGAGTCCTAAGCTGACAAGGTCACTTCAGCGTGTTGCATGGAGCCACGCGTGGGGTCGGCGGCGGGGGCGGCTCATATTCCTTTTCCAGTTCCCTCTCTTTCCATCCTGGGCCAGGATGGAAACTTGGAAGGGCTCGCGGTCTTAGCTGCGGCTGCTATCACCAACTACCATAGGCTGGGCGGCTTAACCAACAAACATTTCTCACAGTTTTAGAGGCTGGAAGGCCAAGATCAAGGTGTCAGCGGATTCAGCGTCTGGTGAGAGCCCTCTTCCTATTTGGCAGATGGCCACCTTCTTGCTGTCTCCTTACACCGTGGAGAGAGACAACTCTGTCCTCCTCATCTTCTTATAAGGGCCTCATGGAAGCTAATCCCGTCATGGGAGCTTTGCCCTCCTGACCTCACTAAACCTAATTCTCTCCCAAAGGCCCTACCTCCTAATACTATCACAGTGGGGGTTAAGGAATTTTGCAGAGACACAAACATTCAGTCTGTAGCACTCATATAAATTTTTTTTTATCAAAATCATCACATCCTTTATGCCTCTTTCAAGCATTTCTCACCGTGATTTTGGTTGGGTACCAGCTGACTGCATGCTCACACACCAACACTGTGTGACCTTCAATGAGATGCTATCAGCTGTTAGTGTCTCCCTCCCAAATCCATATGTTAAAGCCCCAATCCCCACTGGGATGGTCTTTGGAGGTGAGTCATTTGGGAGATAATTAGGTTTAGATGCCATCATGAGGATGAGTCCCCCATGATGGGATAAGTGTCCTTATAAGAAGAGCACAGAGATCTTCTCTGTCCAGGAGCAGGCACGGGAAGGGCCAAGTGAGCACACAGTGAGGTGACTGTCCAGAAGCCAGGAAGAGAGGCCTCACCAAAGACCGACCATACCGGTACCTTGATCTTGGGCTTCCAGCCTCCAGCACTGAGAGAAATACATGTGTTGGTTAAGCCATCACATCTATGGTATTTTGTTATAACAGCTTGAGCTGACTGGGATGCAAGATGACTCTAATTCTCCTAAAATGAAAAGACACAGAGAGCAGAGACATAATGAATGGTGATTCCTAAGGCAGTGTTTGATTTGTTTCTGGAAACATGTTTTTGAACTTACAGGAAAGTTCTTAGAAGTGAATATTTTCCATCATAATATAGACTATTACAGAGCTGAGGAAAAAATGATTTTGTTCTATAATGCAATACAATTACAATTTCCTCCAAATCTTCCACAAACTATCACTTTTTTCTTTTTTACAAATTTTCATAGCTCTTTAGTTTCCTGATAGGTGATGGGCATTAAGAAGGGCACTTGAAATAACGAGCACTGGGTGTTGTATGCAACTGATGAATCACTGAATTCTACCTCTGAAACTAATGATACAGTATATGTTAACTAAATTGAATTTAAATAAAACATTTAAAAAATAAATAAAAAATAAAAATATTACTTATCTCTTTCAGCCTGAAGGGAACCTAACAATATAACAATACGGAGGCTCATTAAATGCAGAATCACCATGTAGAATTCTGTATCTTAACAAGTGATCTGCCATTTCTTCTAAGAAAGTTGTGCATTTTCTAGAATTTTGACAAACAATACATTATTTCACTACTGGAAATTGTGCCTCATGTAGCTATTTCTACATGGTAACATGGTAACAAAGGTTTTTTTTTAAGATTTTATTTATTTATTTTGAGAAAGAGGGGGAGAGAGAGAGAGAGAGCACTAGTGGGGGGAGGGGCAGAGGCAGAGGGGGAGAGAGAATCTTAAGCAGACTCCATGTTGAGTGTGGAGCTTGATGTGGTGCTCTCTCCCACACCCATGAGATCATGAACTGAGCAGAAATCAAGAGTTAGACACTTAACCGACTGAACCACCAAGGTGCCTCACATAGTAACAAAGGTTTGTGCAAGCTACACGTGCTCCTTGGGGGCAGTGGTGTATTTATTAATACAAAAATTCATATCATATCCCATTATGTCAGCCACTCATCCTTGCTAATGAAACATGATCTGCCACCATCATGGATTACATGGTTTCAAGTCATCCAAAAACGCTCACCAAAGACTTGCTGCTTATTAAATTTATCAAGAACTCTCACCCAAACTACTGTTGCATTTTATGCAGATGGGAAAACGGAGATTCTGCCCAGAAGTTACACTAAGAGAATCCTGTGCTAGGAAGAGAATTTTGACCAGAATCTCTTGGGGCATGTGTTAAAAATGCATATTCCCTGCCTTCAGCCCAGAGTTTCTACCATAAGAATGGGCCAGGATGGAAGCCAGACATATGGTTTAACAAGAACCATGGGTGATTCTGATGTCATTGATCCACTGTGAAAAACATGTTGTAGTTGTGTTGTGTCCTATACCTAGTTTAGTAATCACACACCAAGAAACTGCTCTGAGCAAGATGGGCAAAGGCAAAATTCTGAACTTGGAGAACTTTGCTCTGTTTTCAATTAATATTTTCTCTTTCCAGGCACTTTAGGTGGCCTCACTATTGGGTTTCCAAGAGGCTGACTTACCAAGCTCTGCAGATACTTTTTCATTCTTTTCTCTCTGCCTTCCATCCAATGTTAAATCTTGGGTGTCATGCCCAAGATGGCAGCCAGATGTCTGATTAGCTATCCATGCCAAGGGGTTATGGGTAGCTGATGCTTTAATGTGTGGTTTTCCTGGGTTTATGTTCCTTTTAACACAGGGCTCTAGGGAGTTGGGATGGTCCCTACCAGGGAGAAATCTCACATTCTAGACTTCTAGATGCGCTGGCAGTACAGCAGCCTGCTAGCCTCAATTCTCAGGAGGCCTCCTTACAAAATCAACTCTGTTCCTAAGAATGTACAGGATTTCCTTTGCAGACTTATGTAGAAGTTGAAGAGGACAAGACTGACCACAAAAGGTATCGAGAGTGCCAAGTTCTTGTCTTCTAGCTTTGCTGATTTGTGTTGATAGGATCAAACTGGAAAAAAAATTGGCTAACATAACCCAAATTCACCTGATCTTAATATAATACTAACTTGAATCATAACGCCAGTATAAGAGTTTGTTGCGGGAAATATCTCTTTCCAGGAGGAGGCTGTGCAACTTGCAATGGAGTGACCCAGTATCGGACATAGGAATTTGGAGTCAGAAATCACTCCCAGTGGTTCTGCTCTAACCCTCCTGGAGGCCAGAACCATACATCTTGATGATCTAGCAGAAGAAAGAGGGTACAAGGTGGGTGACAGGAGGGCCCAGGATATATCTTGTCTGTTAAGAGAAATAGCTCTGGGTTCTGAATCTGGCCCTACAACTCATTAACCGTGTGACCTTGGGCAAGTTTCATAAACTCTTTTTTTTTTTTAAAGATTTTATTTATTTATTTGAGAGAGAGAATGAGAGAGAGCACGAGAGGGAAGCGGGTCAGAGGGAGAAGCAGACTCCCCGCTGAGCAGGGAGCCCGATGCGGGACTCGATCCCAGGACTCCAGGATCATGACCTGAGCCGAAGGCAGTCGCTTAACCAACTGAGCCACCCAGGCGCCCAAGTTTCATAAACTCTTTAGCCTCAGTCTACTATCTGTAAAATGGGAAGAACATTGAGAATAAACATTCAGTTTATATTTCTATTACTATCATATTATCAATATTATTCTTAGCCCTCTGGGAAAAAGTTAGAAAGCTAAATTTGATGTTGGTATATATCAGCCTCTCTGCTGGGGCGGAAGTAAAAAGGGTGGGAAAATTTTGGTTATAGGAAACACAGTGATAAATAAAAGAGGCAGATTAAGTACTGATACGGCAGACTTCCAATTTTAGCATTCAGGATGGAATAAGAATGGGTTCCTCCTTTCTGGAAACTTACATGTAAGTGTCTCTTCCAGATAAGTCCTGCAGAAAGCTTGATGAACACTGTCAGGGACACACAGAGCACGGCAAATCTCAGGCACAGGTGGAAGGCTTGAAGTGTCAGGTGGTACTCTTCATAGTGTGGTGGGTCCACACGAGCTGATGGGAAGTTTGCAAATGGAAAAGGAAAGGCAACGGCATAACCAAGGTAATTGGTCTCTGCTATATCCCTGAAAATGAGTAGAAGCAATAGGGGCCAAGGAGAGCAGATTCCAAGGCTACTGCAAAATGAAGTGGACATCCCATCATGCTCAGGATCACAAGGGCGAAACTAGTTTCCCACTGAAAATAAAGCAAAAACAAATTGTTACTTTGGGAACTGAATTATTCAAAAGTTTCTCAGCAATACGAAGAAAGAAGATGTCAGGTATTAATCTCTTTTACTGGGAAGCTAAGGAGAAATGCATTACAACTTTCTCTTTTAGGCCATTTTGTTCTCCTCTTGAATCTACAATATGGGGGAATAACATATCAGCCAACTGGGCCAAAATTGAAATGAATTCCATTCAGCAAACATGTGTTTGTTTTTCTTCTATCATATGTTGACAGTCAGTCTGGGGTGGGAAAAACAAACATGAGTACACAGAATCCTTGCCTTATCCTGGCACTTTGCTAATCAGGGCATGGTCTATGGACCAGCAGCACTGACATCCCCGGAAGTTTGTTAGAAATGTAGAATCTCACAGGTCACCCAGATCTACTGAATCAGACTTTGCGTTTTAACTAGATTCCCAGGTGATTCACATGTACATTAAAGTTTGAGCCATGGAAAGATCTATGATCAGGTCAAGGTAGTCTTTCTATACCATGGGATTACTTGGCTCACACTATTGATATGCAAGATATCATAGACTTTTCACCCTTTTTTGGGGTGGGGGAGAAGTAACAGAGACATTGGAAGGAGATCCCAAACTGAGCAGTTGAGTCTTTAAAATACATGCTTAAAAACAGAGGATCCTATAGATCCATTTATTCAAAATGAAATTCAGGAGCATTAATGTCGGTTGTGTTGTCTCCAAACTGGAACACTTATTTACAATAATCACAGGAGCTTGTAGAAAATGTTTGGAGAAGAAATCAGATTAAAATTATTCATTTAAAACCTAGTTTATTACTGAAATCCATCAGACTAAGGCATCAATCAGACAGAATTCGATGACAATTGGAAATCAAGTTCTCTATGTTCCATCCTGAACTTGTAGAGATTTGACCTTCAAACCTATTCAACCATCCTACTCGATGTCTATATATTTACCAGGTATCTCTTTGTCCACTCTTTGTGAGCCAACAGTAGAAGTATACCAGTCGTGATGGCCTGTGAGAGGGAAATGGAAAAATAACATCCGTGATAGAATGTACCTCTGGAAAAAGTTCAATCTGTCTCACAGTTTGACAACTTTATTATGAACTAGAAAGAACAGCAAATGGCTAAATGGATTTATGACTCAGATCTCCTCCTCATCTGGGATGACAATGAGGCCAAGAAGCCATCAGTGTCATACAGACATGATTCATACAAGCTCATTTTTTGATTTTCTGTGTTGCCTTTGCCATCACAATTATAACTTTCACTAGTAAGGTAAGTTGTCACTAGCATAAAAGCTTGGCTTTATAACCCTTGCCGTATGTTTTATTTTGATTCATTGTCTACCGTTCATCTTTCTCACAAATTGCTAAAATTACAAATGGGAGGAACCGGAAAGGAAACATGTCACAGAACCCTGAAATCCTGCCCAGCAATGGCGTTATCTTTTACTTTCTGCTTTTCTTTTGAGATTCTGCAGCCTCAGCCTGCTGGTGGGATGCAAATATGCGATTCCTGTTTCTCAAGTAACAAAGATTATAATTAGAGTGAATGGATGGTGGGACGTTAATCGTTCTGGGTGCAGTGGTGTCCAGCTTTTCAAGAGTTTTTTTTTTTTTTTTTTTAAGTCTCCTTTGAGGGAAAAAGACCCAAAGTGCAGAATGAAAACAGTTAAAGAGGGAATGGTGTCACCAGAACTGAGCAATATATAATGGAAAAAAAAAAAAAATTCTGGGCTCATCTTTAACTGAGCTCCAAGTCTGATGAAGGAGACCTTTGTGGTCACTGAGCCTGGAAACCACTGATTCCCGACCCATAAATCATTTGTTCCTGGTCAGGAATGTCTTGAGGTTGAGAGAGAAAACCAGAAAGAGGTGTGCCTGAAACAAGATATAGAATGAGGGCAGGACTAAAAGTAGTTACAAATTAGGTTTTTGACAGAGAAATAAATATGACTGTATGTATAGTATCAATAAATTCGAGGGGAAAAAATCAGTTTCTACCAATTTGGTTTTGGGGTATGTTGCTTTTGTAGCTTCTGTGTCCAGCCTGGGTTTTTTGTTGTTGTTGTTGGAGGGGGTGTTTGGTATTTTTGTTTTGTTTTGTCTTTTTGAGATCCAGCTTTTCATTTTCCTGGCATATTTTATTTTGAATGTCCGACTTAGAGAATTTGGGGGGGGGCGGGGAGAAGCACACACGTGTATGCTCACACAGAACTTCTCGTGTAGCTAAGTCTGAAATTCCAGACGTGGCATTGCCATACCATAAAACTCCAGTGGATAAAAACAGAACCATCTGTAGTCAAAGGAGGTTGGCTTGATTCTGCAAGAGGAAAATTTCCAAGGGACACTGTGGAGGCTGAGCCAGCGTCAATAGCACAACAAAACAGGAGAATTATTAAGAGAAATTGAGCACTGATGCTGAGCCTGGGGCCGGTCTTTGCCTTCAGAGGCAAGGCCCTCTTGATCGACCTGTTACTCCTCTGAGAGAGAAACACTGGACCAAACAAGAGAAAAGCAAAAGAGACACTCCTCTGCTGGTGTAACTCCAAGTAGATAGCTGGCATTATTAGTTGCTTAGATTCCAGGTTGCGTTAACTACTTTAGCACGAACCATTGCTTTCCTTTCAAAAGTTGAAAAATGCTGCAGGATTGCAGTGGCCTGTTATTTCTGTTGTAGCTGCCAGCTTGAATTTTGCTTTGTTTACACAAAACTTTGAAAAGATCTTTCATGGAGTAGGCTGGTGTATGAATGCCATTCAGTAACTTGTGAAATCCACCCTGTGGACGGTGGTAGCTCAGGAGCAAGCACACCCATCTTTCCTGGTGCTCCCCCGCCTCCCCCGCCCGGTGCCTGTGAGCCAGAGGGCGAGGTGTCCCCTGAGTCACAGCCTCCCTCTTCTTGCTTTCTTCTCTTTTTCTAAAAAGATTTATGTATGTATTTATTTATTCATTTGAGAGAGAGAGAGCACACAAACATGTGAGCGGGGGTGGGGGGAGGGTGGACAGAGGGAGAGAGAGTCTCCAGCAGACTCCCTGCTGAGCGCGGAGCCCGGATGCTGGGCTCCATATCATCACCCTGAGAACATGACCTGAGCCCAGAACCAAGAGTGTGACACTCAACTGACTGAGACACCCAGGCACCCTCTTTTCTTTTTAAAAACATTATACTTAGGGAGAGGGAAAAGAATGTAAAAGGAAGAGTTTTGTGGGTAGGGAAGAGAAGTCAAGTGGGAAAAGGAAATGGGAGAGGCAGTGTCTGAGAGACAAGAGCTGGGTACAGCGGGGCACTCAGGTTTCAGGAAGGACCAGGAGGAGGTGCTTGGAAGGAAGGAAGGCCCTCCTCCTGCACTCTCCTCCCACAGCTCTTTCTGACAGGCTAGCTTTCTGCTCCATGGGGCATTTCCTGGGACTTGACTTGGGTTTTGCGAGAGAAGCTGCTAACACTCTAATTGCATGGGATAATTGTGAGCCCTCCCTCTGAATCTTTAAATTGCCCACGTAAAGGACGCTGTTCCCAGAAGCAGATGAATTGAAGGAAGCGGGGAGCAGTCACAACAGAAATAGAAACTTGTACAGGAATAATTTTAATATGCCCTAATTTATTCACTTACAAACATCTATTGTGGGTCTACTACGATCGAGGGATGTGATAGGCACTGTGCAGACAGCATCATAACAATTAACATTTACTGAGCACTTACTGTATGCCAAGCACGACACTAAACACTTGACATGTGTTAACTCATTTAATCCTTACAATGATGGAGATCTCCTCCTCCTACCTCCTAAACGAGGCACAGAGAGGCTAAATTGGATGAGCAAGCTCACCAAGTAATAATTATAGATATAATGGTTCCAACTTCCATTGGAATTTACAGTCCAGATGTGAAAGAAATGCACTTAGAAGAACGTCCACCAAATGCAGCAAGAAGAGTGAGTGCTTTCCGTGCGACAAGAGTCCAGTGACAAGATACCACTTCTGTGGGAAGGATTGCTGATGAAAGCACAATGGGGGAAACAGGAGCCGAAGCAGGTTTGGAGGGTGGATGTGATTTCAGCGGGAGATGATGGCAGAGGGAAGAGCAGTCTGGGCAGCTCAAGTAACATGTGCAAAGATGGGAACATAGCAGCCAAGCTTGGGGGGACAGTGAGACAGGCGCCCAGATGGGGGGCAGGGCTGGTTCTGGGCACAAACGAGTAGGAAATCAGGCTTGAAAGCCACATGAGGCCAGGTTGAGAAGGGCCTGGAAATTCAGGCTAACATATCTGAACTTTGTTTGGACAATGAAGCAACACTGAAGGTTCTTGAAGAAGGAGCCTGACTGACGCAGCAGAGGTTTAAGAAAGATGAGCCTGTTGTCATGTGCATGTTGGGTGGGGATGCAGGGAGGCCTAGGTGTCTTTGTAGGAACTTGGTCTTCAAACTGGAAACAAATTTTTTTCTTTACTATTATTTTTTTCAAGATTTTACCTTTTTTTAAGTAATCTCTACACCCAACATGGGACTCGAACCTACAACCCGAGATCAAGAGTCGCTCACTCCATCGACTGAGCCAGCCAGGCACCCCCCCCACCAAACTATTTTTTAAACTTCTATCCATAGCAAGAAATGTATTTTGCATCATGGCCAAGTTAAATTTTATATCTAACCAAAATCATAATACCGTTATTATGTGTGATACACTCTGATTCTCTTCTATTCTGTTCTTCTATTCTATTCTATTTATTCTATTCTATTCTATTCTATCCATGTTTTATAAATGCTGCTAGCTACCCAACAGATTGATTTTATAACTCATTAATGAATGGGTTCCCACAGTTTAGCTATTGAAGTTATCAAGGCATAAGACCTGGGTGGGGGTGGAAAGTGATAAGGAGTTGAGGGGGGGTGGTTCACAGTGAGAATGAGAGGAAAGCATGCACAGGGATATGCTTCACAGGAAAAATAAAAGTTAACTGGCAATGGACTGGATGCGGTGGGGTAGGAGTGGGGCTGAAGGTAGGTTGGTTTAGGGCACTGTTGCCCAGAGCACAGTCCTAGGACCAGCAGCATTGTCATCCCTTGGAAACTTGTGAGACAGGCAGAGTCTCAGGCTTCATCCCAGATTTACTGAATCAGAGTATACATTCTGACAAGATCCCCAGGTGATTCATATGCACATTATAGTTTGAGAAGCACTAGTTTGGAGGGAAGAATTGAGTCAAAAGTCACTCTAGGGTTTGAAATTGGGTTCAGAACCAGGAAAGTCAGGAGAAGAAATCATTGCTTTTAGTGGTGATATGATTTTGGGGGGAGAAGCCGAGCTTAAAGAAGCTTAGGCTATCTAGGGGCACCTGGGTGGCTCAGTCGGTTAAGCGTCCGCCTTCAGCTCAGGTCATGATCTCAGGATCCTAGGATCGAGCCCCGTGTCAGGCTCCCTGCTCAGCGGGGAGTCTGCTTCTCCCTCTCCCTCTGCCCTCCACCTCTCTCTCTCAAGTAAATAAACAAACATCTTTAAAAATAATAAAAAAAAAAGAAATTTAGGATATCCACGTGGAAAATTGGCCATCAGGTGTTTGGCAATCACAGGACTGTTGAAGCTGTAAGAGGCTCAAGTGTCGGTATAATCAAGTCCCTTCTGTGACTGAGCAGGGCACTGGGGCCTTTCTCCCAAGTTCCGGTCTCCAGGCAGGATTCTGGGTGCAGCACTGCTGCCTGCCATTAACTGAGTCACCAGAGTTGCCAAGCCACGTTCTCCAGGATTCAAGTAGAGCTCAGTCCTTAAGGCACTGAATCTCCTTGCTGCATACTTTCTAGCAGCTGATGCCTTTAAATAACCTAGTTCAGAAATTGTAGGAAATCTGCTTATCATGTCGCTGTCAGAAGAGAGCTAGGAGAGTCTGAGGACCAATATTTGCGAAGAATTTAGAAAGTCTGGAATGAAAGCACTGAACAAATACAAAGTACTATATCACCTGTAAAAATCTATCTTTTATAAGTCTCAAAAGAGATATGGAGTCTTTTGTAAAAGGAAGTATCAACATGATTGAAATGTACAAATTGTCTTTCCACCAGAGGAAGATTCACTCTGCAGGCAACTTAAGAAGTGACTGGTAGGGGCGCCTGGGTGGCTCAGTTGGTTAAGCGTCTGACTCTTGATTTTGGCTCAGGTTATGATCTCAGGGCTGTGAGATGGAGCATCGGCCCTGAGCTCAGCGGGGTGTCTGCTTGGGATTCTCTCTCTCTCCCTCTGCCCTGCCCTCCATGCCCCTCTCCCTCTCTCAAATAAATAAACAAATCTTTAAAAACAAAATAAAACAAACAAACAAACAATAGTGGCTGGTAGAGAAGGTTGTGGAATGAGTCAGAGACCTTTTGAAGTTGACCCCGATCAGATAGAACTGGGGTTCGCTAGGAAACTCACCAGAAAAAGAAAAAAATCACATTGTTCCAAACTTAGACATCATTGAAAGAGAGAGCATTCTTATTGCTTTCCTTCTCCTGAGGATTTTTTTCCTGCTTTAGTATAAATACCAGCTTGACTTTTAGTCCTTGCAACCTAATCAGAGTTCAATGGTGTGAAAAATTTTGTACCACCAGAGCATGGGACTCATTCACTTATTCAACGATATTTATTGAACAATATTTATTGAACACTTAGTATGTGACTCACTCCGTTCCAAGTGCTATAGGTAGAGCAGTAAACAAAAAGAAAAAAAAATCCCCACCCTTGTATAATATACACTTTTTTGGGAGGGGTATAAACAAACAATAAATAAGTACATTATATAGTATATTAGATGGTAATAAGGGCCATGGGGAAAAGAATAGAACAGGGAATGAGAAATTGGGGATGCCAGGTGTGGGGGAGATTTATAATTTTAAATAGGGTAATGAAGGAAGGCATCAAGGAGAAAGTGACATGTCTTCAAAGAATTAAAGGAAGTTAGGGAACAAGCCATGTGCAGGAAGAGGCTTCAGGCAGAGAATAGACAGTGCAAAGGCCCTGAGGCAAATAAAAAACCTTGGAATATTTGAACACAACAAGGAGCCGTGTGATGGCTAAGGAAATGGAATGAGTGAAGGGAAGGGTGGTAGAGATGAGGTCCCGGGAGGTAATAGGATGGGGAACTCAGCTGCTCATCAGGGAATGGAATGGGAAAGTGAGCGGATGGCAAGAGATTAGGAAGGAAGGGTTGGACAGAGCTTGGGCACTGATGGGATTCAGGACAAGTGGCCCCCAAGTATGCGACTTTAGCATATTGATTATTTTGAATTAAAGTTATTTAGGAAACAACAGGTGCAAGAAGAACACTGATTCTCCTCTGTCCCCCTGAAAGCAGGAAATGAATTCCCCATGTGAAGGGTACCCCCCCTGCACTGGAGGGTAGAAGTTTTCCTCCCTCACAGCACAAACGAAAGGCACGGTATTAACTAGCATGTGTGTAGAGCTTTAAAACTGGTGATGCCCTTTGTTATACAAGCTTTGTTCAATTTGGTCATTCTCACTGAGCATCTTAGGGTCAGATAGTGTCGCACGGACTCTCTTTACCTGCAAAATCCCTCATGTTCTAGGTAAAAGCAATGAAGAACTAGGTGAGTGAGGGTCCTGCTCTTGGCCATATGCCAAAAATGTCAGAATCTGGACTTAAACATAGGCTCCATCTCCCCAGTCTTATCTTTTGGATTCCAATTCCCCATGCTGTCAATCTCGGAATCAAATAGCCACCAAGTATCTGTGCGCCGGCCACAGATCTTGTCATTTCTCTGGGTCTAACTGATAAAACAGATCTTGGTGTAGAACAAACCTATATTCAATAATTTTTGATCCTAATCAAATCTCAGTATCTGTTGGATGTTCTGTGATAGACAGCAGGGATAGACAAAGAATTTAGAAAAAGGGATACTGAATTGGACTAGAATTGTGGTTTTGTTAAACTTTGGGTCAGTTCTGAAATCAGAACTAAAAAAATTAATAGAATAGAAAATATCAGACTTCGTTTCACACAGAAGGCTAAATATTGTTTTGTGAAACTTTTGTTATATAGATTTAGTTATATGTATATATCAAAATCTATCTATTTACCTAGAGAGAATTATAGGGATGTATTTATGTACATTCTAGGTACTGATATAAAATGTTTTTCCTACTCTTTGCATTCCAGTAGATGTTTAATAAATATTTCTTTGAATGAACATATGGCTTCAGGCAGGAGTTGGGGTAAAGAGCAGATGGGCAAGACTGGGGAGGTAGATGTAAAAGAATGTATTAGAAAAGAAAAGAAAAAAAGAAAAACACCAGCCCACACTTTCCTCCTTCAGTTCCACATTCCCACCATTCTGTTTTTTAAAAATTGAGACCTTGTTTGTTTGTCTGTGTACCATTGTAACTCAAGCACGCAGTAGAGTATCAGTACATATTTATTTAATAAGTAGATTAAAATGATATGTTCTAGGGTCTTACTTTTAGGTGATACCCCAGTAAAAGCTGGATTTTTTTTTAAGACTTAAAATGTTGCCCCTCTCAAGAGTGGCTATGTTTTAATAGAAAACTCCTAAAGATCAAAAGGCCTTTAAATTTGAAATTCTCTAGAGTCCAATGGTGAATGTAAGGCATCACAGGAAGCAATGAGAGAAGGATTTGTTGCAAGCCTCTGTAACTCCCCTTAAGCCATACCACCGTGGAAGACATCGATTCACAAGGCTTGGTGTGTTCATTTCTTTGACCCAGAGAGCTGGGGTACCAGGCCAACCCTTCATTTGTGCAGTGGGTCATTCAGTCAGCAGACAGGGAGCACCTACTCGGTGCCGACTTGTACTTGGCCCGCGCACCCTTTCCTCATGAACTGCGACATTCGAGAGGTACATCACCCAGCTTCTTGAATGACTTTCAGTTCACACAGTTGCATGCAAGGACAAATGTGGGAGAACTAAGATTTGGGGCTTGCAAATCTTGGATCATGTCGACACACCTCAGTGTTTCCAGTGCAAGCATTAGTCTGAAAATTATTTTTTTCCCCAGTTTTACATTATTTTTTATGGTTTATATTTTTTTTCTAAATTCAAATTTCACAAGAGAGATTCCAATTTCTCAGAATACCAGGGTGAGAAGATTCAAATAGCTTTTTAAGAATTTCTTGAACAACATTTCATTATAGTACAAATGATGGTATATGTGATAAAATGATATTAAGAAAGATCCTACATTTAAGAGGCAAATAATGGAAATCAACGTTCTATGGTAAATTCTAGTTTCTGTAGAATTTGGACTTCTCTGTATTGTTGGAAAACCTAAAAAGGACATGTATTCTTTTTCTTCTTTCCCTCCCTTCTTTCCTTATTCTCTCAATATATGTAATAAAATATTTTCCTACCAAAGCTCCATTCCAGATGGGACAAGCAATCCAGACACTCCATCCGGTGAACCAAAGCTTGTAAGAAGAGACAGGGGAGAAAGCGAAAACTCCAGAGAATACACTGAGAGCCGCCAGGGAAATGAGAATTCAGCCAGCAGCCTGGTATAGGCTCTGCGTTTTCCTCTGTGACCTGGGTCCTCAATCTCAAAGATGTTTTGTTACCAAAACATGAGGGTATGTCAGGCCTCAGTAAACAGAAGTTTCTTAGAGACAGTAGCCATGACACATGTGGACTGTTGATCTACTTGGAAACAAGCTTCTATTTGTTTCACCAGAGATAATAACATGTAATGAAATAATCCTTCACATAAATTTGATACAATGAATTCTAATACTAGTTTACTAAGAGAGAGAGTGAGTGAGTGAGAGAGAGAGAGAGAGAGAGAAATCATTCCTTGTTTTGGATTACTGCCTCCATTCCCTTCATTCTGCCCTGTCGTGGGGAGTGCCCACTTCCTGGCTTAATCAGATTCAAAGGCTTGCTGACTGAGCTAATTGTTTCTCAACTCAACCTGCCTAGTGGTTCCAGCATAAAGCCAACATCCTTTGTGCACAATAGATCCACATTCCCAGCACAATTTCCCACAAAACAAAGTAAAAATAAGCACCCCGATCACTTTTCATTACATCTAATTTAAATGGTTTAGAGCAAAAACAAGACCTCTCCCCATCTTTCAAAGTTCAATTCTACTACAATTATTTTTTAATTTTTGGTAAAGATTTTTGACATAGTTTCATTCCCAAAGTAGCATAGGCTTCATTATGAAGTTCTGTCTTGTTTTCACGAGACCAGGTTTACCTTATTTTACTATTAATTCAATCATCAAGTAGAGGAAAAAGATGGAAGTGTATGCAGTTGTAAAATAAACTTTAGGAGTAATTTATTAGTTGAATAAAATACGGATCTCCAATCATTCTTGAATCATAATTCAAATTTTAGATGTTGGGCTTATGTACATTTAAGCAACTGTCAACGTTTATTTCTTAATTCCTCATGCATTTGAGAAAGTGATACGTACTTGTTTTGACTATTAGGACATGTTTTTCTCTACTAAGATAAGATCTTGAAAACACAGACCACTTTCTGAAGCTACCTGAATAATTTTCCTGTTCAATATTAATGCCTTTTCCCTTAAATGAGATGATGAAAAAATAATTTTGTGGACGGAAATGCAGTGGTTTAGAACATGGATTTTGGCATGAGACTGAGCTAGGATCCATTATCTGCCAGGTATGTGTCCTTGGGCAAGGGCAAGTTACTTACCTTTCTAGGTCTGTTTCTTCATATGGGAATAAAATTAGTGTTTATCTCACCAGGTGGTGATTGAGAAAACGAAATGAGGCAATCCATGTAAAATGCTCAGCACCAAGCTCTGCATAGCGAAGAAGCTTCCTCCTTTCCCTATCGTTACACCGGGCAGCCCATCTTTGAAGTTCTTTCAGCAAAGGACAGAGGCACTGTGGTTGCTACTGCTTTTATGCATCATCTTATCGCATGTTACTGTCTCTTACGCAGCTCCCAAAGGACCCTTCCATGTCCCGTGAGGAGGGAAGCTGCTCTCGGAACCTCTGCTTTTTTTTCTTTCTGTCTTTCTGCCTTTAATAGCCATTCCACCGTGTGACCCCGATTTTGAAGCCATTGCTCTGCTGGATATACAGGACCCAGGAAAGCAGCTCAGGCTTTCTGCTATAGCCATTATTTCCCATCTCCTCTCAACACTGTGGGAGTATATTCTCTCTCTCTCTTTCTTCTTCATGCCACTAGGTAGGTTCCACGAGGGTAGAGGTCTTGCGAGTCTTATGCATCTCCTAGATGTAATAAGATGTTGCTGCCAACACCTAGACTTGGGTCTGGCCCAGAGTAGATACTTAACACACGTTTGTTGAATTCATGAATGACTACTCTAGACTTTCCAGCTGGGCACTTGCGGCCCCGAGGGTCTGCCCCCACCCAGAGCTATGTGTGTCCAGCACGCCGCTGTGTGCCAATGTTAGTGTGTCCCTTCGTGACAGAGGGAAAGGGTCTGGGCTGCAGAAAGACTTGTTTGTGTTAGTATTTGGTTTGGGCTGTTTTGACTTTTTCCTTCACTTTTATCTCAAGGTTATAGCTACGTGACATGTCAATATACTGTGGGTCAGATCACTCTCCTCTGTTTGCATGTTTGGAAAATAAAGACTGTTGAAATACTCATGTTAAACAGTACAAAGACGGCAAACACAAGAGAATATTTTTCCCTTTAATCTGGGGGGGCTCTTTTAGTGTTTGTAACACTGACAGGCTAACCCTGACGCTGCCGGGGTGACTTATAAACCGGAGTGTATTCATGATTAGAAGCGTCCTTGCCCCTTAATGTAACGAGGAGAAGGGCCAGAGGTAGAGCTAGGGATTTCTCGGTGGGTGTTTTCCCAACCGCCCCTTCCCGCAGGAACCCGTCCGCACTCATTTCCTTAAAGCATAGAGATTTTCAGGGAGGGCAGCTACTGGGAAAGAAGAGAAAATATAATTCTGCTTCTGACCAGGGCTTCCTCTCAGCTCAGCCATGTCATCTGTGTTCCCCAGTGTCCACAGCCAGCAAGGCTCACAGAGGCCCTGCCCCCTCCTGCCCCCTCCAGGGCCCCTGGCCCCTCCAGGGCTCTCTGCTTCCCCTTCAGCACTGCTGGAAGGTACGTCTGCGATCCTCTGTGAAGGTGGTGGAGTCAAGGTGTTTGCTGGCTGCTTTGCAGACCCTACCTTCCTTCTTACCCAAGGAGGTCCAGCAATCTTTGCTCAGGAAAGAATGGCAGAAGTTGCACCGAACTCTTCAATCCATCTTTGCCATGAAAGAAAGAAAGAAAGAAAGAAAGAAAGAAAGAAAGAAAGAAAGAAAGAAAGAAAGAAAGAAAGAAAGAAAGAAAGA